CCCCTCCCGCTGATTCAGCGCATACCTTTGTCACACACACACACACACCGTCTGCGCCCATGCCTCCGGCCATGACTTGCGACCCCCCCCCCTCTCGGCCGCCCCCTCTCCTGGGACGCAGCCCCCTGGAAGGAGAGCGGAGAGGTCTCTGGGAGGATTGCGGGAGAGGGGGGCCAGGCGTCCGAATGGGTAGAGCTTGTCGATCCGCGGGCACCAGCACCAGAGATCTCGACCCTCCTCTTTCTCGAGGAGGAGGAGGAGGAGGAGGAGGAGGGGGAGGAGGAGGAGGAGGAGGAGGAGGAGGAGGAGGAGGAGGAGGAGGAGGAGGAGGAGGAGGAGGAGGAGAAGGAGGAGGATGAGTTGGAGAACGAGGAGGGGCAGGAGGAGGAGGAGGAGGAGGAGGAGAAGAAATATCATGAGGAGGAAGAGGACGGGGAGACGAGGAGGAGGAGGAGGACGATGATGATGGTGATGCTGATGATGATGATGCTGGTGATAATGGTGATGACGATGGTGATGATGCTGATGATGATGCTGATGATGCTGCTGGCGATGATGCTGATGATAGTGATGATGATGCTGGTGATGATGATGTTGATGATGGTGATGATGGCGGTGGTGGTAATGACGGTGATGATGATGCAGATGAGGATGATGTTGTTGATGATAATGCTGCTGATGATGATGATGATGATGATGATGATGATGATGATGATGATGATGATGATGATGATGATGATGATGATGATGATGGTGATGGTGATGGTGATGGTGATGGTGATGGTGATGGTGATGGTGATGATGATGAGGAGGAGGAGGTGGAGAGGGGAAAGAGGAAGAGGAGAAGGAGGAAGTGGAAGAGAACAAGGATTTGATAAGGCTAAGGCCCTTGGGGGTCCTGCGTCTCTGCTTGAAACTTTCAAATGTCCCCTGGGTGGCATATGGATGCAAGCCCCCGACGCCGTCGACATGAGCGACCCGAGAGGCAACCTGGGGCAAGGCCGCCTCCGCCTCAGCTGGGCGGTGGTCGGTTGCCCCGCTGCAGGGGGGCCCTGCCTGAGAAGAAAGGGAACGAGGGAGTGCGGGAGGAAGGAGGCTGCCTCAGCTGCTCAGGGGCGGGCCTCCCTCCACAGGGAGCCGCCACTGCCCACCATCCGCCACCTCCGCCCCCTCCCCCTCTCCGCACGGACCTCCCCCCCCGCGGAGACTGCAGCGTGAGGCGAGCTCTTACCTTCGAGATGCTGCAACGTGCGCACGGTGAAGTGCAACACACATCACGCACGTGTGCTATCCACAGACACGCGAAGTGCGGATAAAGCAACAACTGCCTTCCATCGGTGCGAGCGTTGGGCGATCGTCCATGTGATCAAGCAACCGTTCTATGGATATTACCTTCAACTCAACAACGCCCACGTCCATCCACTCTCGGATTGCCGCGTACACATGTTGCTTTGGAAACGCGCGACCGAGCCGCAACATGATGTCCGCAAAGGTGAGCCCTTCACTCGAAATAGATATTTCGTACACTTGGTCAAGCAATCGATCGAAAGTTGGGCTCGTCGCTGCCAGCTGCGGGACGGGCGCTGGAGGGGGGTGAGGCGCCTCGTCCTCCTCGTCCTCCTCCTCGTCCTCTTCGTCCTCCTCCTCCTCCTCCTCCTCCTCGTTCGTTGTTCGATGTGCGTTGTGATGTCAACTCGTTGGCCACTGGCAGGCGGCCCGCGCCATCGTTGTCCCACTCCTCGCTAGTGGCGTCCAGTCCAGAAGGGAACTCGTGCAAGATATGTTGACATTTGATCGAAGCATCGTCGCTGCGAATCGATCAGATCAACTCTTCTAAACATGTGTAGTCCAATGGGCTCCCACTATCCTCATCTGTTTGCAACTTTGATGCGCCCAGCTGGATATCATCCCCATCGTCATGGTAGTTGGCATTGCGCGCGTAAGCAAAATCTTGAGCATCAGCAGTGTTATAGGAGTCATCTGCTCCTGTGCCTTCTCCCTCAACCTCTGCTGCCAAGTCTTCCTGCTGCGTCATGTCCACTACATTGCTCTCTAATGCTTGTGAGTTCGCTGCTGCCTGCTCGCCGTTGGTAGCGACGTCCTCGTTGATGAAACGCAGGCCTGCCAGCTCTCGAATTTGACTCGTTAGGCACGTCACTGCGTCTTCCAAGCGTTTCTTGTATCGTTTTCGCTGCTGCCTTCTGATCCGGGTCCGCTCGATGCCGAATCCCGGCGGCGCTTCCGGCCTGCCGACGTGGCCGCCGTAATCAGCAGCCATGGCGGCTCCCCAGTCCCCCCTGACCCCAGGGCCTGCGGGTTGGGGCACGAGAACTAGCTCGGGTGCGATCCTGGACTCCGAACGGCTGGTCTCTGCTTCGATGCCCTCAAACGGCAGCCTGGAAGAAAGAGAAGGAGGAGGAGGAGGAAGAAGAGGAGGAGGAGAAAGAGGAGAGGGAGGAGAAAATGGAGGGGGAGGAGGAGGAAGAGGGGGAGGAGGAGGAGGAGAGGAGGAGAGGAGAGGAGGAGGAGGAGGAGGAAAGGAGGAGGAGGGAAGAGGAGAGGAGGAGGAGGAGGAGGAGGAGGAGGAGGAGGAGGAGAAAGAGGAGGAGAAAGAGGAGGAGGAGGAGGAGGAGGAGGAGGAGGAGGAGGAGGAGGAGGAGGGGCCCAAGTCCGAGGACGGGTCGGGGAGCGGCGGCGGCGGCGGCCGCGCGCAGGCAGCCCTCTCGGCCCAGGGCGGAGCGGGCGCGCGGCCGCCCGGCGGCGCCGCGCGCCGCTTCGGGCCGGGCTTCTCAAGGGGCGACATTTAGGCCCCGACGGCGTCGGGTCGTACAAACATCAGCCAGAGGTGGCTCCAGAGAGGCAGGAGGAGAGGAGGAGGAGGAGGAGGGGAGGATGGGAGGAGGACGAGGGGAGGGCGGGAGCAGGGCGGGAGGAGGACGGAAGGGGGGGAGGACGGGAGCAGGACGGGAGCAGGACGAAAGGAGGACGGGAGCAGGACGGGAGGACGAAGGAGGACGGGAGCAGGACGGGCCCAGACCGCGTCGGGTCATACAAAAATTCAAGCAGTGGCGAAGCGTCACGGCGTGCCTATAGGCCTACTATAGAATGCTTAAGAAACTTGTGTGGTTTGCGCGAAGTGTTCTGAGAACATGTCTGGCTGGGACTGTCTTGTTTTCACACATCCGTGTTCTACGAATATTGTTGTTGTTCTAAGAACATTTCTGGGTTTTAAGATTTCGTGGTAGGCCTATAGGAATGCCGGGACGGTCGGTCCCTGTTCAAAAAAACACGACGGGAGGTTTTTCGCAGTTTCGGCCTCGGGGGGCCCTCATTGGGCCCCAAGAGCGTCAAAAAACAGCTCGGGATGGAAAACTGGCCCCTGGGAAAGCGGAGAGCCCTTTGGGGGTCGACGTAAGGGCAAATTCATTACGTCCGGCGTTTGGGATAGGGGGGATGCATCGACCCCGAATCGCCCATTGATCGCCGAAAAGGGTCTGATATCCCCACCCCGTCCAGGAGCGTGCGGATTTGCTATCGGAGCCCTGTCACCGATCTATCGGCGAGACATCGCCGATTCCAGGTCGATCTTCCCCCCCCCTATGCCAGTCCCCCCCAACCGTTGCCCCTCAGCTCCGATATGGCGGCATCCTCCGCCGGTGAGCACGGCAGCCCGCTGAGCAGCGCCGACGCGCTGTGCAGGGAGCTGATCGGGCTCGCGGAGGTCGCTCGGCATCACCCGGGCGTGTTTACTCCACATTTCGTAATAAAGGGAGGGGGGTCTCATTTCGGGGGGGGTCTCTTCCAGGCGATCTTGGAGGGCCTGGGGGTGTCTGGGGACGATGTTTTGGAGGGTTCTCCCACGGGGGGGGGTCTGAAATGGCTTGTCTTGGAGGGTCCAGACCCCCTCCCTTTTATTACGAACTCTGGAGTACACCACATCGAGGCGTTCCAGAAAGGGCCTCGCTTTCGGGGGTCGAAGGGGTTGCCATCTCTTCCTGGGCGAAGGGCCGCAGACGCAAAACGAGGCGGCCCCCCGCCAGCGGAAGCCCGCGGAGGTCTGCGCTTTCTGGCCATGCCGCCCGGGCCAACGATGTCCTACAACACGTCGTTTGTCCTACGTACATGTCCGGTTCGTGCTTGCACTGCCAAGGGGGGCGCATGGTACTTGCATAGTTGTCCGTCTGCGCCTCAGTCGCCCCCCGAGGTGGAGCGCAGACCCCCTCGCGTCGTGAGCACATCAAGACGGAAGGAGTTGGGAGGTTTTGCAGGGGGGGGGCTCTGGGGGCGTTTGCCAGGCCCGGGGCCGTCAGAAGGCTATGAAAAAGCGGTCCCGGTCGAAGAGGTTTTGTGGAGTTTTCTGTGTGGAAGCCCGTTTCGGCCTTTGGGACTGTCAAACATGAGCAGGATGGACCCAGGCAGGGGTCTAGAGTCTGGAGACCTATTTCGAGCGGAGTTTGGCCTGCCCTGGAGGATCGTTTTTTTTGTTTGACCCTCTTGATGATGTTTTTACATTTGGACGTTTTTTGTTAGCCTTCCACGGCCTTCCAGGGACCTCAAGAAGCTTCGGGGAACCCTCGGAGTCCGCTCCAGGAGGAGGGAAGACTCAGAGGATAGAGCTTCTGACAGTCTTGAGGATTTTTTGGCCCTGCAACTTTCGGAGCCCGACGGCCGTCTCTCGGCCCCGCGACCGTCAGTAAGCAAGCCGGGATGGAAGACCAGCCCCACGGAGAGGGTCGAGAGCTCTGGGGGCCAACGCACTGGAACAAGTGACTCCGCCAGGGGCCCGCGTGCTCCTGCCCGTCTCTCTCTCTCTCTCTCTCTCCATCCCCATGCCCTATCGGCCATAATGGGGGCCACATGCGAACCCTCTCCCTGCCCCCCACGACTTCTGAGGGGGAGGGGGGGGTTTGCTCCGCTCGGGAGCTCCCGAACGAAATGAACCGCACCCTCCCCCTCAGAGATCGTGGGGGGCAGGGGTAGGGTTCGCATGTGGCCCCCTA